CATTTGTATGTCCTCTTTGGAGAAGTGTCTATTCAGGCCTGTTGCCCATTTTTTAATTGGATTGTTTGTTTTCTTGGTGTTGAGTTATATGAGTTCTTGATAAATTTTGGATATTAATCCCTTATCAGATGTATCATTGGAAAATATGTTCTCCCATTCAGTGAGTTGTCTTTTCATTTTGTTGATGGTTTTCTTTGCTGTGCAAAAACTTTTTAGTTTGATGAAGTCCCATTTGTTTATTTTTTCTTTTGTTTCCCTTGCCCAAGGAGATATATCAGAAAAAAATATTGCTAAGAGAGATGTCTGAGATTTTACTGCCCATGTTTTCTTCTAGGAATTTTATGGTTTTAGTTCTAACATTTAAGTTTTTAATCCATTTTGAGTTTATTCTTATGTATGGTGTAAAAAGGTGGTCTAGTTTCATTTTTTTGCACATATCTGTCCTGTTTTCCCAACAACATTTATTGAATAGACTCTTTACCCCATTGTATGTTTTTGCCTCCTTTGTCAAATATTAATTGACCATAAAGGTGGGGTTTTGGGGGGCTCTCTATGCTGTTTCCTTGATCTGTATGTCTGTTTTCATGCCAGTACCATGCTGTTTTGATTACTATGGCCTTGCAGTATAGTTCAATATTAGGTAACATGATTCCTCCAACTTTGTTCTTCTTTCTCAAGATTGCTTTGGCTATTTGGAGTCTTTTGTAGTTCCATATAAATTTTTGGAATATTCTAGTTCTGTGAAATATGCCATTGGCATCTTGGTAGGAATTGCGTTGAATCTGTACTTTGGTTTGGGTAAAACACACCTTTTAGTGATGTTAATTCTTACTATCTGTTAACACAGTTTATGCTTCTACTTATTTGTATCTTCTTCAATTTCTTTCTTTAGTGTCTTGTAATTTTCCAAGTCAGGTCTTTTACATCCTTGGTTAAAGTTATTTCTAGTTTGTTGTTTTAATGCAATTGTAAATGGGATTTTTTTTTTTAGTTTCCCTTTTTAATAGTTCATTATTGGTGTATAAAAATGCAACTGATTTCTGGATATTTATTTTGTGTCCTACTTTACAGAATTTATTAGTTCTAGTAGGTTTTTCCTTTTTGGTGGAAACTTTAGGGTTCTCTATATACACTATCATGTCATCTGCAAATAATGACAGTTTTGCTTCTTCCTTTCCAATTTGGATGTCTTCTATTTCTTTTTCTTGTCTGATTGCTGTGGCTAGGACTTCTGGTACTATGTTGAATAAGAGTGGTGAAAGTGGATATCCCTGTCTTGTTCCTGACCTTAAGGGAAATGCTTGTAGTTTTTGCCCATTGAGTATGATGTTGGCTCTGGTTTTGTCATATATGGCCTTTGTCGAGGTATGTTCCCTCTATTCGCACTTTATCATAAATGGGTACTGGATTTTATCAAATGCTTTTTGTGCATCTGTTGACATGATCATGTAGTTTTTTATCCTTCGTTTTGTTTATGTGGTGTATAACACTTATTGATTTATGGATGTTAAACCCACCTTATATTCCTGGAATGAATCCCACTTGATCATGGTGTATGGTCTTTTTAATATATTGCTGAATCTGGTTTGCTAATATTTTGTTGAGAATTTTAGTATATATTGGACTGTAATTTTCTTTGTTGTGTCTTTATCTGGTTTAGGAATTAGGATAATGTTGGCCTTGTAAAATGAGCTTGGGAGTCTTTACTCCTCTTGATTTTTTGGAATAGTTTGAGAGGGATAGGTGTTATTTCCTCTTTGAATTTTTGGTAAAGTTTACCTGTAAAGCCATCCAGTCCAGGACTTTTGTTTGTTGGGAGTATTTGATTACTTCTTAAATTTCACTAGTTGTAGTCTGTCTATTCAGATTCTCTGATTCTTCCTGATTCAGATTTGGAAAATTGTATGTTTCTAGGAATTTATCTATTTCATGCAGGTTGTCCTATTTGTTGGCATATAGTTATTTGTAATACTTTCTCATAATCCTTTGTGTTTCTTTGCTGTCAGTTGTTAATTTTCTTTTTTCATTTCTGATTTTACTTTTGGGTTTCTCTCTCTCTCTCTCTCTCTCTCTCTCTCTCTCTCTCTCTCTCTCAGCTTGGTTGAAGGTTTGTCAATCTTGTTTATATTTTCAAAGAATCAGCTCTTAATTTTACTGATGTATTTTTTTTTTAAGTCTGTGTCTCTAGCAGACTCCCATCTCTCCCTGGCAGACAGAATCCCTGCTGATTTTCACAGTCATATGCTATGTGGACACGTCTTCCCAGCTTTGATGCTCAGGGCTGCGGTGCCTGGCTTGGTGTTAAGATCCCATGCTCCTTAGGTAGAACCTTTGCAGCTAAGATATCCCTTCAGAGTCTCAGCCATCACCCATGAGAGCAGGGCCAGCTCTTTTCATGGCTCTGCCCTTCCTACCAGTCTGGTGTGGCTTCTTCTGTAGACCCTTGGTTAGAGTACTTCTGTCCAGCTAGCTTTTAATTGGTAATTCAGGTTGATTGCTCAATATTTTAGTCATAATTCTAGTTTGGTCCTGGGTATAGTGAGTGTAACTTCCACCTACTCCACCGCCATATTGGATCTCTAAAATGTATTTTCTACGGAGGCTTTTCTTTTCTGTTTTCTTTATTGTTCTGTTGATGCAGAGATGGTGGGAAATCAAATTCTTAAATTGGATCTGAGTTTCTTTTCCCTCTACAGCTGCTAGGAATTTTAATGTGATTATTCAGCCTGTAAACAAATGGGTTTCCAAGTTACCATACCATATATATATTTGGTCCATATATAAGAGACTTCAGTTACATTTTTGATATGGCTTAATCTGCTTTGCCCGTATTTGATGTAAAAATCACTTGGGAAACCAACACAGTGCTGATTGCTGGGTCCTGGAGACCCGGGAACCTATATTTTAGCAAGGGCTACATGTCTGGTGAGCAAGCATGTTTTGAGAAGTAGCTGATTCTTGCCCTGTAGTAGTGAGCACTTTCCGTAGAGATCAGCATCACAGTCAGCCTAGTCAATGTGAAGTTGAAGATAGTTGAGACCAAAATTTTGAATGCAGACAGCTCTTTACCGAAATATTACCTAGAAGAGTTATAATGGATATACTAAGAACTATTGGAAAAAAAAAAAAAAGCTTTGTTTGTTTACATAAGTGTGTGAAAGTTGGTGGAGAGTCTTCACAGAGAAAACACCTCCCTGTTAGGGTGCATTCAGGATGAACACAAGACCATGGTGCCTTCTGTGGAGGCTCTTCCGTGTGGTGGCTGGACATTCATCCTGTCAGACTTTTAAGCTCCGCCTTAGAATACCTAACAAACATTTTAGAGAGTTTTAACCAGTCTTAAGGTCTTTGATCTTTACAATGCCTCTTTGACAGGGCAAGTGTCAGAGGAGGGATTCAAGGAAGGATAAGGAGACATGCCCAAGGCCAAGAGCAGCCAGCCACCAGGGGACTCAGTCTGGGGAGATAGATGGAGATAGATGGTGGGGAGTGGGGTTGGTGGCACTGACTTTAACTGAAGCACAGCTGCTGGGATGTCTCCCCAGGAAGCTAGGTGCATCCTGAACACTGGAGCTGTTGCTCTGTCCTGGTCCTAAGAGCGGGTAGCCTTAGAAAATACTTTCTCCTCCCATTCTTCTCGCTCTCTCTCTCTCCAGTAACTCAGTTGTACCTTGTAAATATGATGTGCTGATAATGCCATTGCTTTTCACATGGACTGTGGGATGGGGATGGATGACTCACAGTATGAGGTTAATATGTGTAATTTGATTAAAATTCCCACCTGGTGACTCCAACGTCTTATCCTAGAGAATTGATGGTTTAGAAGGAGTCAGGCAGAATTGCTTGTTAGTTGTGAAGGATGCTCGGCCAACATTTCCTGATGCTGCCCTGACCTGAGGTGAAGTACAGTATAGGAAGGACTTGGCAGTCAGTAAGATTGGCATCATTAATGATGGTGATGATGATGGTAAATCATCTGTTATTCAGCTGTATCACTAAGCTAGTGGCGTAGAACTTTTGGCTGATCTCAGAATGCTCTTGGTTTCTGTCAGACTAACCTGTGAGGTACAAAAGCACCTAGATTGCTGGGGAGACTTGAGAACCTGATTAAAGGGAGAACTGCAGAGGCATGTCCCGTCCTGGGCTTTGCTCTGAGTCTCCCTCCACTGGACGATCCCAGTGTGGCCTCTGCCTCACCTCCTCTAAGCCTTTACTCAGACCTCACTGTCTCAGAGGCTGATGCCCTTACCCCCTGTCCCACAGCTGTACTCCTGATCCTCTTGTCTTTCCCCCCTCATAACAGTTATGTTCTAATATACTAGATAATTTGTTCATTTGATTCATGTTTGTCTCCTTGCACAGGACTGTAAACTTCATGTGGACAGAGGTTGTTTTTCTTCCTTGATAAATCCCCATCCCTAAAATAATGCCCTAGTACAGAACAGAGGCTCAGAAAATATATGCCGAATGAATGAATGCTTTCCAATATAACATTCCATGGCAGTAATAAACAATAGGTATAACATATATTAGTCACTTACTACTGATTCTGAATAAATATTAAATATTCCTGAATGGAGATTAAGTCATCCCCATCCCCCTCTCCCCCCATTAACAGTAGTTTCCTCTGTAAACAACCTCACAGTGAAAGCTCTGGTGTAGATGAAATGAGTTAATGCACTTAAAGCATTAGAACGGCCTGCAGTGTAGCAAGGGGTCAGTTAATAAATGGAGTTGGTAGACTCGTTTGTTTAAAATATAATTATATGGTATACTAATTTTCCATTAAGTCTAAAGTTAAATGGTTTAACCAGTTTTAAGAAGGAAAAGAGCCATAGATGAATGCACAATTTGGGTATTTTTTTTCATTCTTGTCTTTATTACAAATGACAAATACTTAGATTGACAAATACTGAATTTATTATGGAATCTCTTGTAATGTAACATCAATTTTAAAACAGCTTGGGGTTTCACATGAGCCTTTTTTTTATTTCTTATAGATCCCCATATTAAGGTTTCTGGAAAGAAAGAAGATGTTAAGGAAGCCAAGGAAATGATCATGTCTGTCTTAGACACAAAAGTAAGTGAATGTTAAGGACACTCAGATGTCAGAACCTTGTCTCTGCAAGGGCTGCTTCATGCTGTTATGAAAGAACCATTTGGAGAAGAAAAACCAGGAGAAAGTAATGGTGGGTTTTAAAATAAGCACGTGTGATTCTTCAGTGGATGTAAAGTTCTGTTTAAAATCTGAATAGAGTCTCTCTTGCTGGCTGAGTAATGGAATAATATTATATCTACACATGTATATGTATGTGTGCAAATGTATATTTGTACATATGTATGTAGTATGTATATGCCATCTTCAGAAATATGATTTTAGGACAAGTAATGAAGGTTGTAAGAATTAGCATGTTTGCCTTTATGATGCCAGTAGAAAACCAAAATGATCTTCTGTATAGCTCTTGTGTGTGATGGCATAAAATTGACACTTTATCTTGTCCATTCTTTCTCTGAAAGTATATGTACTCAGATAATAGGGAAATTTAAGTATTTAAAAATGTACACTCATGTGTGAGTATTTACTTTTAATAAACACTTTAAATCACTTACCTTGATAAGTACTTTAAAAATACTAATTTTTTAATTCTTATAATTTAGCAAAGAGATACTAGGGAATTTAACCAGCGTCCAAGAGCTGATAAGTGAGGAAGAAGGTGGGATTTAAATCTGGTTCTTAACCATTCACTATTTTACCACCTGTTGTTTTATTGAAATGGTTTCTGATCTCTTCTTCTTTCTTTTCTTGTTCTTTTTTTTTGTTTGTTTTTACTTTAAAGAATTTTTACCTTATAATTATTAGCTATTTTAGAATTTTCACCAAAGAAGAATATCTTCCTGTATTTTAAAGGTTAAACCAAAAGAACTAACTTTAAAAACCAAAGTATTGAATGGATATGTTTAAAATTTAAGAATTGAGAAGATGTAAAACTGTTGAAATTTTTGACTTTTAAGTTTTGCTTCCTAAGGACTGAAGAATTTCAGGGAAATTCTTGTAAATGAGTAAAGATTTCATGTCAGTCTTTATAATTTTATAACACTAAATTTCCCAAAATTCAATACATGAATACCAACCAGACCATAATTATTATGTCTTAGAATTTTACATTTTGCTTTAATATAACTAATCTCATACCTTGTATTGTTTACTTAAGCCATTTTGCTATTAGAGATCATTTTGTGGCTTTGTGGTCTCTTCCTCACTCTTATTCCCAGCAGAGAATAATAAGTCTACTTTGTAAAGTTTGACACAGTAATATAGAAGTCGTAAAAATGCTTGTAAATACTTCTTTATTTAGTTTAAATCACTTTTATTTTTAATCTCTAGTTTCCTATTGCCTTAGTTCTGCAGTCCTACTAACATATATATGTGTGCATAAATATAGTCCTATTAATATATATGTGTATATATATAGTCAGTCTTGTAAATGTGTTTTCAACTGGTTTTAGTTTTTTGAATTAAGTATTTCATGAATAATGTCTATTAAAGAAAGATTGAGTTATTTGTAATTGTAGCTGATTTTATTTAAAGGCTGCTTTCCAAAAGATTATCTTGGTAAAGAGTATATCTTTCTATTTCTTCTGACAAATTTGTCTTAAAATACAAATTTCTTTTTTATAGCCAAAGAGAAAAAAAGTAAACATTTACAGATTAAGATGATTTTGTTTAGAAATCTGTACACTCTGTCATGGCTCACTTTTTGTTAAAATTATTCCCTTGAGAGGGGGGATGTTTTAGGAAGTTGTTCCTTTTTCACGCATCAAGAAATAATACATTATTTCCACATAGAGCAATCGGGTCACCTTGAAGATGGACGTTTCGCATACAGAACATTCCCATGTAATCGGCAAAGGTGGCAACAACATTAAAAAGGTGATGGAAGAAACAGGATGCCACATCCACTTTCCAGATTCCAACAGGAATAACCAAGCAGAAAAAAGCAACCAGGTGCTTTGTCTTTCTCATGAATTTTTATGTAACAAATTTTACAGCCTCAGTTTTCCATATGCATACCTTTTTTGGGAGGTGAAAGCAAAAAAAATAATCATGGAGATGACATGTAGTATAGATTGTATGACCCTGTGCAAGGACATGGAAAGGGCTTTGCTTTTTTGGAAGGGATGAGTTATAGGTAGGCCTTAAACTCTTGATCTCTGAATGGTTGGTAGAAGAGACAGGGGAGGGAATGATGGCAACATACAATAAAGCCCTTAAGGAAGGGCTCAGAGAGATGTGAATTGGGAAAGGACCTAAGGCATGCCTCACCCAGGTACCCATTCATGCTGGGATTCTGTCTGCAGCAGCCCTCCCATGGTCCTCCAGGCTACATACATAATTTTGCCTTTCTCTTTTAAAGAAAAATTACAGTTGACATACACTATTATATTAGTTTCAAGTGTACAAGCCAATAATTAGACACTGATGAAACTTACAAAGTGATCACCCCGATAAATCTAGTACCCATCTGACATCGTACACAATTATTACAACCTTAGAGGCCCGGTGCACAAATTCATGCATGGGTAGGACCCCTCTGGGTGGCCTGTGGGGATCGGGCTGAAACTCGTAGTTTCAGCGATGCCTTCAGCTCCTACCTGCCACTCCCGCTCATCCTGGCCCCACTGCGCCTGCCACCAGCTCGTGCCCAATCAGTCCCGATAGGGAGAGGCTCGCGCTGCCATAACAGCACTTGCCAGCTGTCAGCCCTGTGTCTGGTGCTGTCCCGAGGGGAGTGGCCTGCGGGATCAGGCTGAAACCAGCTCTCCGACATCCCTGAGGGGTCCCAGATTGTGAGAGGGCGCAGGCCAGACTGAGGGACCCCTCCGGTGCACGAGGGACCATGGGAGGGCATGTCTGGCCCTGTCTCGCCCAGTCCCAATCAGGAGCCAATCAGGGCCAGCTGGGGAGGGTCCACAGGAGGGCTCCAGGGCATGTCCAACCCATCTCACTCAGTCCTGATCGATTGGCCAGACCCCAGTAGCAAGCTAATCTACCGGTCTGCCCCCTGGTGGTCAGTGCACATTATAGCGACTGGTTGATCAATCGACTGCCCCCTGGTGTAATGTAGTTTTCTCTCTTCTCTGCTAATCACAACACTAGAGACTGTGCCAGCCACAAAGATGAATAAATGGAGACTAATGTGACAGTGAGCCACATACATAAGGAACTGGGTCGTAAGCCATGATAAAAAGCAAGGGCAGTTTTCAAAATATTTGAAGCTGATATGGCATAAGCATGCACCCTGAGGGCAGTGTCCTGGGTCCCCCACCCTGATCCTAATAACAAGAGTAATTCTTTTTTTTTAATATATATATATTTTATTGATTTATTACAGAGAGGAAAGGAGAGAGAGAGAGAGCTAGAAACATCGATGAGAGAGAAACATCGATCAGCTGCCTCCTGCACATCTCCCACTGGGGATGTGCCCGCAACCCAGGCACATGCCCTTGACCGGAATCGAACCCGGGACCCTTCAGTCCGCAGGCCGACGCTCTATCCACTGAGCCAAACTGGTTTCGGCAAGAGTAATTCTTTAGTGGGTGGATCATGGGAACGTCTAGAGCAGTGATTCTCAACCTTCCTAACGCCACGACCCTTTAATACAGTTCCTCATGTTGTGGTGACCCCCAATTTCATTGTTACAAATTGAACATAATTAAAGCATAGTGATTAATCACAAAAACAATATGTAATTATATATGTGTTTTCCGATGGTCTTAGGCAAACCCTGTGAAAGGGTCGTTCGACCCCCAAAAGGGTCGCGACCCACAGGTTGAAAACCGCTGGTCTAGAGGATCCCAGGAGAGGGCCAGAGGTGGGTGTTAGAGCAACAATTTTTTTTTTTTTTTTAACCAACTAGCACGGAAGTAGTTTAGCATCTTGAGAACATAGAGCAGCTGCCTCCTTGCGTATTGATACTCCTCTAGTCTGCAGGGAGTTTAAACAGACAGGAGAAAATGCAGGGAACGAGAGGAATTATGAAGGAGGCAGGAAGGCCTCAGGGGGCTGTGAGGTGTCAGGTAAATCCAGGGGGTGATAGAGATCAGTTGACACGCATTACCGGAGCAGATCATTAAAATGCAAATTGTGATTAAGCAGGTCTGCATTGGTGCCCGAGTTCCTTCATTTTTAACAAGCTCCCAGATAACGCTGATGTGGGGGTTTCCTGGAGGACACTTTGAGTAGCAAGGATGTCGATAACCGGAAGAGCAGGCGCCGGCTCAATTGCCGGCTCAATTAAATTAAATCTGACTCTGTATATCCTTATCTTTGCAGGTTTCCATAGCAGGACAGCCGGCAGGAGTCGAGTCTGCCCGAGTGAGAATTCGGGTAACTGTTACTTTCATACCATAAATCACTGTCAGCAACGCTTTCATTATAGAGGATTAAAAATATTATGTATCAATTTATGATGAAATCATGCGCCTCAGTCTGAGGGATATAGTGAAAAAGTTGGTTTCATGTATTACAGAAAGTTTCTTTGAAACATTCTGGATTTTACCTGACTTAGTTTTTCTCTGATGATTTTGAAATCCGAGTCCCGAGGAAAATGCCACAGGCAGTTCAAGTGACAAAAACTTTCAGGTTTCATAAAAGGCTCCTGTCATTTAAGAAACTTTATATATCCTACCCAAGTTTACACCTATAATAAAAGAATATGTGCTTAAAATTCCATCTGCAGGAAAGGATGAATGAATTAGACATATTTCTAAATGTGTCTGATCATTTATCTGCTTTGGGTTCTCACAATTTCATTGTAGGAGCTGCTTCCTTTGGTGCTGATGTTTGAGCTGCCGATTGCTGGAATTCTTCAGCCAGTTCCCGATCCTAATTCCCCCTCCATCCAGCACATATCGCAAACATACAATATTTCAGTGTCCTTTAAACAGCGCTCCCGAATGTATGGTGCTACTGTCATAGTCCGAGGGTCTCAGAATAACACTAGCGCTGTGAAGGTAAGTGACTGAGCGAATTCCGATCATACATGAACAAACTATTCACGTTTTATTTATTTATTTGCTTAATATATTTTTATTGATTTCAGAAGGGAAGGGGGTTGGGGAGAGAGAGAGGGAAACATCAGTGATGAGAGAAAATCATTCATCGGCTGCCTCCCACATGCCCGACTCTGGGAATTGAGCCCACAACCTGGGCATGTGCCCTGACCAGAAATCCAACTGTGACCTCCTGGTTCTTAGTTCAACACCCAGCCGCTGAGCCATGCCAGCCGGGCTCAAGTTTTATTTTTAAAGGATCTTAGACTGTTTTGTTTTCTAGAATTTTCTTTTGTATTACATTCTGGTCTATATGTGTTGTATTTTTCCATAGCTGTTAGAAGTGACTAGAGCCCTGGCCACTGTGGCTCAGTTGGTTGGGTGTCGTCCCAGGCACTGAAAGGTGCCAGTTCGATTCCTGGTCAGGGCACATGCCCAGGCTATGGGCTTGATCCCCGGTAGGGGGTGTGCAGGAGGTTTCACTCTCATATCGATCTCCCTTTCTCTAAAAAAAAAAAAAAAAAAAAGAGAGAGAGAATTTAAAAAAGAAAGAAGTGTGCTCGCTTCGGCAGCACATATACTAAAATTGGAACGATATAGAGAAGATTAGCATAGCCCCTGCACAAGAATGACACACAAATTTGTGAAGCGTTCCATATTTTTAGCATGGATGGAACTGGAGAGCATTATGCTAAGCGAAATATGCCAGTCAGAGAAAGATAAATATCACATGATCTCACTCATTTATGGAATATAATGAACAACATAAACTGATGAACAAAAATAGAGCCAGAGACAGAGAAGCATCGATCAGACCATCAAACCTCAGAGGGAAGGTAGGGGAGGGTGGGGGTTAGGGTGAGAGATTAACCAAAGGACTTGTATGCATGCATATAAGCCTAACCAATGGACACAGACACCAGGGGGGTGAGGGCATGAGTGGGAGGGGGGTGTGGGGGGCAATGGGGCGATAAGGACACATATGTAATAACTTAATAAAGAAAAAAAATCAACAACAAGAAGTGCACTAGACTCTCCCTGTATGTGGAAATTCATTTACACGAATATTTCTGTTCCACCTTTTCTTCTAGGAAGGAACTGCCATGCTGTTGGAACATCTTGCCGGGAGCTTGGCGTCTGCTATTCCTGTGAGCACACAGCTCGATATCGCAGCTCAGCATCATCTCTTCATGATGGGTCGAAATGGAAGCAACATCAAACATATCATGCAGAGAACGGGTGCTCAGATCCACTTTCCCGACCCCAGTAATCCACAAAAGAAATCCACCGTCTACCTCCAGGGCACCATTGAGTCTGTCTGTCTTGCAAGGCAATATCTCATGGTAGGTTTAGTGAAATCTAGGTTACTTTTTCTTTATTTTTTACCTCTTTGGGTACAGTGTATACTGTTGACAAACCTTGTGCAGTATTTATGAAAGCACTTTGGAAGCCAGGTCAAGGAAGGAAGCTAAGCTTCTTGGTAAAAGGAGATAAAGGAGTAAGGTCGGTAGTGCCTCACAGGCTGAGTTCCGTTACATTAGTGAGAGCTTTTGTTGCAGGACTTTTCTTTTTTAAAACTTAGACACACAGAAGAGGTTCAAAGTGAAATAACTGTATTTTGTGGAGGGTGATTATTTTCATACCACAGATAGCAGTTTGCAGTTTTCATCTGACAAAGTCTTCTATTTAAACAGAAGAATAAAAATACATCTTAAACATTATGCTCAAAGACATAGATTTTGGTAGCGTGAAACAATTGAACATTTCACAATCTCTCATATAATTTTAAAAATTCTGTTTGAGCCAGAATGCATTTGAGTGTCATGCATTGAAGAAAAATAGCAGTTATAGAACTCAGTATTGCTTCTAACTCCTCCCTATATTCATTTAAAAAACCCGTGTGTAGATTGATGTATAGTTACTAAATGGACTGACATAATGTGGACTCAGATATTTTTATTAAAAACACCATTGTATTCTTCTGTTAGCACTTGACCTTCAGTGACATTTGAATCAGTAGCTTCAGGAATGGCCTTTGCTATCATTAATTTGCAGACTTCGTTTGTGAGAAACTTTTAGAAAATCTCGTTTTGTCTGGTTGACTTTATTTCTCTGACAGATGAAAACTTGTTATAATCATTAAGGAGTATTATACATAATTTTATGAACTTTATTTTGTTGTGAATGATATTTTTAGCCCAATTTAGTTTAATCAGGCTATTTTGAGTATACTACTAATTACATAGCATATTCATCTCCAGAGTTTATTATGCTTATTCTTCATATTTTTGTCTGCTTTTCAGATTCTTTAGGTATTACTTTGAGTTCAGTAAACTTTTTCAAACATTCTGCACAGTTATGAACTTATATTCATACTTTGGCCATACCTGCCAAAAATATAGGCATGCAATGAGACATCTTATTGCACAATATTAAAAGAAGGGAGGGAGAGATACATTGAAAGGACTTAACCTGTATTTCAAATACCATAACCTTTTCTTTATAGCCATGTCCTTACAAAAATCACTTCTACCCATAAGAGAAATGAAACATAGTAGTTTCATGTTAATTCTAGTATGGTTCATGATACCTTCTCCTGATACTTCTGTACAAAACACGTCACTCATTAGGCTAGCACCGAGTATCCTGTGCATCAGAAAATGTGTGTGACATTTTTCCTGTGCTAGGGACTAGGGGCCAGGAAGAGAGCATCAGAGAGAAGAACAAGTACCAAACCCTGCAGTGCTCAAAGGGAGGTAGTTCAAAGAAGGGACAGTAATGGCTGTGAACTTGAGAGAGGAGGGAAGGTTTGAGCTGCATCCGAAGAGGAGTAGGCCTTGGGATGGTGAAGAAGCCTTCTGATGAGCGGAGAGGCCAGCGTACAGTTTAAAAGATGGCCTGGTCCAGCCTGGAGGAAGGGGCAGGCATGCAGACACAGACCTGCGATTGCACAAACACAGCCAGGCCACAGCTGGAGATCTTAGATGTTGACGCTTGTTTAGACTTCATTCAGCAGACCGTGAAGAGCTAGCACTGTCCGTCTTTGAGCGCGGGCACAAGGCGAGTACCCTCGATAGGGCTGAGAGTCCAGTTTCTGGCATCATTGACGCAATGTATCCAGAGAATGGAGGAAATTTCCCAGGTGGAGAATGAATGAAAATTCAGGGCCAAAAACAGACACTTAAGACACATACAATTTTGTCATCCAGAAAATAGTTTTTGCCATTCAACATTATTTTTCCCACAGTCCGCCAAGCTATGTGAAAGTATCTGATTGAGCTTTACTACTTTGGTTTACTCTTTATCTTTTTACAGGTTTCAGGTGTACAATTCTAGAATACATCATCTGTATACTGTATTGGGTGTTCACCACCCCAAATCAAGTCTCTGTCCATCACCATTTACCCCCCATTACCCTCTTCTACCTCCCACCACCACCCCCATTTCCCTCCGGTAACCACCATACTGTTGTTTGTGTCTGTGAGGGTTTTTGTTGATGTTTTGATTTTCTTAATCTCTTCACCTTTTTCTCCCATTTTACTTGTTAGATCTGTAAAATACTGCATTGTTTGTAGGCATGTTAAATTATCTGATGTTTAAATGAGTAACTTCTTAACCGCCTACACTTCCTACGGTGACTTTTCCTAGGGTTGTCTTCCTCTTGTGCTGATGTTTGATATGAAGGAAGAAGTTGAAGTGGACCCACAGTTTATTGCTCAGTTGATGGAGCAGCTGGATGTCTTCGTTAGTGTTAAACCGAAGCCGAAACAGCCGAGCAAGGTTGGTTTAGAGTCTGGATCCAGAGAACCATGTGTCATATCACGTTCTGTTTTATTTGCATACAAGTATGCATTTGCATATTCATGGAACTAAATATTCTATATATGTCATTATATATTATATTTAGGTATTTTATATAAATATAAGTTTGTAACAACATGCATTATTGATCACCATTTTCCTTATATGTGTGTTGGTTTTTGGAGTCCATTTTTAGTGACCATTATTTTTCTATAACTATATGAGAAGGAAAAAGAAAACCATTTTAAATTAACTTGCAGGCTGGTAACTTTATATATTACTAAGCTTCTAGATAGTTGCTATAGCTAAATATTATGTTAATTGCACATCTCAATACAATTACAAAAAAATATTTAGCTTACTTACTATTTGTGAGTCACTGTGCTAGCCCTGGAGCTTTAAAGAATAGGTGCCCCATTCTCTTTAATAATAAAATATTTTTAGGAATGAATTATACCCAGTTCAGCCTTCTTGGAACCTCTCCCTTAAGATGTTGCACAATTTCAATAATTACATGTACAGTAACAAGTTAATGGGATAACTCCGATGATATTGAATGCTAGTAGAAAGTCAGGAAACAGGCATGTTTCTCTATTAACACAGTGCGGACCAGTAGTTTCATTGCTGGCTTTATCCAGTGGCCAGATAAGTTTCTATTGAACGAGTACAAAAAACGTTTTACATAAATGTTAAAGGCACGCTTTAAAATTAAATACCCATTGCATTTTGAAGTTATTTAATACATGTTCTTACAAGCTAATATATTTTTGAAGTATACTTTGTAAAACACTGTGTAATACAAAGCAAGAATTCTCGTGATGCATCTGCAATGTGTTAATATTGTGCAAATAGGCACAGTCACTTTGCAGAGCAATTTTGAGACCATCCGATCACACTAAAAACACTGAGACCTTGCCCCCAACAACTCTGCTTCTAGTTATACACTCTGAAGAACCTTTGTACCAGAAATTGAAGGATAAGAATGGTGTTGAATAAAGAAAAGCAAGTTGCATAATGACATGTACTCAATGGTAACATTTAATGTACATCTTTTATAGCAGGTGAAACACCAGTCACATCTTCTATGTTTAAATTTCTAAACTATAAGTCTTATCATATACTCATAATAGTATATGATAATATATATTAAATACAATTTTGTGTATCTATAAATGATGTGGTATTCAGCGTCCAGTTCTCTTTCTTCAAAAGAAAACTGTAAATGGAAAGATAGCATTGATTCTGGTGAACTTGCTATAATGCGTTTAATGTGAGAGAGCAGGACCCTGATTTTATGTATTGTGATGCTTCATGCATGCCTGGCTAATTGAGTTTCTGTGGATGCCAGGAGTGAGAGAGAGAGGAGACTTTTGAGGACTTGTGCACATAAGATGGACAGACACAAGAATTCCTGGGGTCCAGGAAGAAGTGAGCAGAAGTCGGGGGAAATACACTGTGGCAGCATCCCAGGGCCATTTAATTATGCCTCCCGGCCCCCTGCTCCCTCCTGCTCTGCTTTCTCAGCCGCCAGTTTCCTTTATTGTTCATTGGAGGCTTTCCCCCCTTGGTTTCACATTTCCAATTTTCTAGATGAGTCCATTGAGGAAAAAAAGATTTATTGTTTAGGAGTTTATTTTAGTATGAGCTTTGCCATAGATATGTCATCAGTGAGGAATAGTGGTACCTCACGGTCTATTAGTTAACTAGTAGACCATAAATGTCAAATGTAAGTGACTATTATTAAGCAGTACATATACTGTAGGGAGACAAGTTTGATTTGTTTTGTAAAAATAAGTAAGGGGGGGGGGGGAGAGCTTTAACAGACAAGAGGATGTGAAGGAGAATGGGCTCCAGAGAGGGGCCCGCGTTCCAGTCCTCTGGTTGCCCTGCACAGCTGTGCTGTGATATTGAGTAAGTCCTGTCCTCACTGAATATGAGCAATAATTTCCACGCCATCATAAGGTTTTGGTGGGAACTGGAATATGTGTGCGGCTTCCATCACAAGGCTTAGAACACAGGACACACCCAATAAATAGCAACTAACGTGTTAGGTTTTTACCAAAAGGAGGAAACGTGATAAGTGATTAGAATTTGCCGTTGGTTTTTAAAGCAGCATTAATGAATTTCCTAAGTGGAATTCTTATTACGGTTTTCATTTCCCACCCACCTCCCCAATTCATTGTAGACGACTTGCATGTCACTTTTTTCTTTCCCATTATGTGTTTTCATAGTCTGTGATTGTGAAAAGTGTTGAACGAAATGCCTTAAATATGTATGAAGCAAGGAAATGTCTCCTCGGACTTGAAAGCAGTGGGGTTACCATAGCAACCAGTCCGTCCCCAGCATCGTGCCCCGCCGGCCTGGCCTGTCCCAGCCTGGGTATCTTAGCCTCGGCAGGCCTCGGACTCACTGGACTAGGTATAGTGTTCATTACTAAAGCACTTCTCAGTTGCTTACCCAGTTCCCTTCCTTCCTGCCGCAGGGGCTACACCTTAAAGGGGATGTTTCTCCCTCGTCAGGCCCTATGGTCAGGTGAAAAGCAGCAGAACTCGAATCAATCCATTTTGTTGTTGGCTTTTTGTTGTTTTTTATTGTTAGACTCCGTGGATTTGTTCCCCAGATTCTTCTTATTTTGGCATCAATAATCAACGTCTGACGTTTATTTTCGGCTGTGTGTGTTCTTCTAAATTAAGAATGCCATTGCGAGTGAAGTCAGCAGGCTGACTGTAATTTATGTGTTTGCCCTCCCTTGTATTTGCAATATTGCCACCAGTCCCTGGAGATAAAGATTATCCAGTTTGCCTTTCCAAAAGTAATTGCAAATCTGTATGAGGGGTGTGCAGAGGGGGAGGGGAGAGCAGGCAGACCCCCTCCCCCCTCTTCCTGCCGTGGCTAGGCCTGCTTCGTGCAGACACAAAGGAAATCGAGCCTGCGGCCACCAAGGGCAACAAATGGACCTGCATTCACATCTAAGGCAGCAAATAGGAAGATGAAGGAACATCGTCATCTCGGTGCTTCCGTTTTTTAGGATAACAGAGCCAGTCATTTCAATAGCCACGGTGATATTTATGGCCTCATTATGGACTCCTGTCTTACGGGCTGAAGTTAGTTGCTGCATTAAATCAGGCTAGTTTTACTTCTTATACATTTTCTCAGTAGCCTTTATGTGAAAAGTTAAAGCACTAACCCTAGCAAACCCAGTCAGTGTTGATTTGAGGCCGAAAACATACTCTTAGCAGTCTTTAAATTTTTCTAACAGCTATTCTTGCTTTAATAAATATAACATATTTAAATAATATGATTAATACACCAAGTAGCCTTGCTTCAACACCATTACGGTAAAGGCAGGTTTTTTCCCCCTGGGCCCATTGTCTCCCAAAGCTGTCCCTTCCACACAGCAGTGCACCTCGAAATGCCAGTCTCATCACTTAGCAGGCACTGAGTTCTTGCTGCACTAGAGAGAGAAAAAGTGAGCGGACATTCAGAGTTACTCAATTTTTAAAATGTTTTTATGGCTGCCCCTATCCTGGAACACCCAATGCTTTAAGTATTCCTGGAAACTTGTAAAAATCCACATTTTATTTTAGATGCCAGAAGGGAAATTTCATTACCATATTTTAAATGCCAGAAGGGAAATTTCATTACCTAAATCAGGCATTAAATCTTAAAAACAAGGGGAAATTTTTTTTTCTCTCCTGAGAAAAGATTTCGCGTGCATGGAGATGAGCGCGAAGGAGTCGTGTCAGTGTTTTGACACAGTATGAAAACTGTTGCAGGTACCTAAGCCTGTCCACAGTGGGCCAAGCAGAGCCATTCTGCTGCGGGAAATCATCCCCTGAGTCGCTGCTAATTGTACGTGGTTTGAAGCGTTTGTTTGAACGCGTATGACAACTGAGCTATGCGGGGAAATGAAAACGGGTTCCCACTGGAGCAGAATGTTGTTCATCTTGGCTAGTGACGTGAACGCAAAGCAGCTGGTGGTGCTCAGTGACCCCCCCACTGCCTTCCTGGTTGGGGCACACACCTGTCTCCCATTTTCCGATCAGCATCTGTTTGTGGATAAGCTGGGTCCTGTGTTGAAATGGTATCAGGCTGTATTTCATGGGAATATTTGAAAGAAGGTAATCTATCACTCACGTTTTATATTCAGAAAATATCAGATTATATCAGCGTGCATTCCAAATGGCAATATTGCTGCCATCTGTTATTTTAGAATCTTGAATTTATGCATATTGACTGTACATTCACTTACCACAGGTCTCCTGGGCCCCACCACCTTATCTCTAAACACTTCGACAACCCCGAACTCACTCTTGAATGCGCTTAATAGCTCCGTCAGTCCTTTGCAAAGTCCAAGTTCTGGCACCCCCAGCCCCACGTTGTGGGCACCCCCACTTGCTAATACTTCAAGTGCCACAGGTCAGTATCATTTAAGTACAATCAAAGGCATGTCTTTGTAGGTATTACCAGTTTTTAAATAAAATGTACTAGTGGTTCCATGTCCTTAGGGGGAAATCATGGTTCAAAGCATACTTTTTAGCCTAACAGAAATTTCCTAATGTGTAAATTAGTTAAAATGCACGACAAAACAGTGAGTTTCCCATAAAAGTAAAACATAACCTTCGAAAGTGACTAGCAGATCAGGAAAAGGAGAATAATGTGCAGGGAGCAGTGGCAAAGTCATATGAAGGTCGCTGACTGATCACTCGAAAGATAGGTTCTAGCTGGAGAGGTTAGAATTGCTCGGTAGGTATATGCACACGTGAAGTCCAGCTTGTTTCTTCGTCTGTACCGTGAGGAGCTTGGGTTAAATATTCCCTAGAGAGCTGTTCCATTTTAATATTCTTTTGTGTAGTAATGCTAAACCTGTTTGCAGAGAGCTCAACATTGAATTCCCTCCTGAATTTGCAGCAACAGTGATGTTTTTTGAAGTTACTGAAAATAATATAATGCTTGTTGGTTCTGTGTTCTTCCTGTCTAATATCTTTTTTCATAAAATGTTTTTCTAGGCTTTTCTGCCGTACCACACCTTATGATTCCATCTACTGCCCAAGCCACGTTAACCAATATCCTATTGTCTGGAGTGCCCGCCTATGGGCACACAGCCCCCTCCCCCCCTCCCGGCTTGACTCCTGTCGACGTGCACATCAGCAGTATGCAGACAGAAGGCAAAAAAATCTCTGCTGCTTTAAATGGACACGCGCAGGTAACGTCCCTCAGGATGGTGGGAATCTGTGCTGTTGGCAAGAGATAAGCCACTAGTAAAACTTTCAGTGGAAGTGAATTTTAGAATGGTGATCACATCCACATGCTATTTTCTATTGTTATTTCAGCCTCCGAACATAAAATACGGTGTAATATCCACTTCATCGCTTGGAGAGAAAGTGCTGAGTGCGAATCATGGTGACCCCTCCAGACAGACAAGTGGATCGGAGCAGGTGTCTCCCAAACCAAATCCTGCCGAAGGTATCTTTCCTCTGGACTTCAGTGGGCCTGTTCCTTGGACAAAGGGGGTTGTAGAAAGTCCACGCAGTGATTTCAAATTGGTTTTGCTAATCGATTATGACTTATCCTGCCCGAAGTTTGCAGAAAGACAGCATCCTGAATGAAATTCCAAAGAACATGGTGAAAGATAAACTGAAAAGCAGACAAACTTCTTACAGAAAGAATCACTTTCCCATGACATTGGAACTTGCTAAATGAAAGTGCATGTAATTATGTAGCAGGAAAGCATCAACTTACTAAGTGTGTGTGTGTGTGTGTGTGTAATTTTTTTCTAAGTAGAGTGGACATTTTTTTAATCCTTTCATCCCTAACTTTAAAAATAGGAGGGTCATTTCTTCACATTTCATCTTGAGTTTTTGAGGCAGCCTGAACTTCAGGCATCATCTTTGCAGCTGAAAGCTGCTATGTCTGTGTCTCCCTGGAGCTGGATTCTGGTTTGTTTCCATCGCAGAGGATTGCTCATGGTGAACTTGTGTTTTGGGTGTTGTGTTTCCTTCTCTGCAGGCGGTAACGATGCTTTTGTGGAAGTAGGCATGCCGCGGAGTCCTTCCCACTCGGGGAACGCGGGCGACCTGAAGCAGATGATGGGTCCCACCACGGTCTCCTGTGCCAAGAGGCAGACGGTGGAGCTCTTGCGCGGCACGAAGAACTCCCACTTACAGTAGGTGTTTTCATCGGGGAGGCCCACGTGCTTGGAAGGAGATTGTAGCGCGAGCTGGAGAGGTTTTAAGTCAGGGGAACAACACTGGGTTTGTTGGGCAGTGAGTGCTCCTTGATTTCAGCAAGTTTGGTCTCATCCAGGAGTTCATGCATTTCTCTTTATAATTACCTGTTCTTTTTCCTTTCAAACATTTTTTTTTCATTGAAGTAACGTTGGTTTATAACATCATATGACTTTCAGGTATGCAACATTATAATTGGACATCTGTATATACATCATGCTCACAACCAAAAGTCCATTTTCCATCCGTCACCATACAGTTGACCCCCTTACCCCAGGCTGCCCCTTTCCACTCAACTTCCGCTCTGGTAACCATAGATCTGTTGTCTGCCTCTAGGAATATGTTTTCTTTGTTGAGTTTTTTTTTTTCTTTTCACTTAGCATAATACCCTCAAGGCCCATCCTTGTCACAAACGGCAGAATTTCATCTTTTTTATGGCAGAGTAGTATTCCATTTCAATCTTAGTGATATTTTTGTGGATAAAAATGTTATTAAGACATAATACCTGGTAATTCTCACCCTTATATTCTACCTAGAGTCCTTCTCGTCATAAACCTTGGGTGTATATCTGGGTCCTCTGAACTTTCTCTGTTGCTCTGAAACTTTTAACATGATCTCTGCTCTTCTGTAAGCAGCAGGATGATTTTTACTCTCTGATGATTGCTTTTAGATACTTCCCTGGTGTGAATTCTCTTTCATTTGCCTTTGAATTTCTAACTGAAACCATGGCGCCCTTTTTCTGAAGTGGTTAACTGCTCACTTTGGTAATAAATACTAGACATTATCATGATTTCATTTATTACAAATCACAGTGAATGTGAATACATATATTGTATTAAATATAACTCTCCTGTACGATAGGACAGTTACAAATGGGTGTTCCTTATTTTATTTTTCATTTCTTGTTTCAAATAGGCAGCCTGTGTTTTTTAAAAAGAAAAACAATGGAATGCTTCTGTATTGAAAGGTTTTGCTTCTGTCCGTCTCCATTTTCTCAATTTCCCCTACTGTCTTATTAGTTTTCTTATATAGCTGACCCTTGAACATGTGTGGGTTAGGCGCCACTGACCCCCTGTGCTGTCAAAAATACGTGCCTAACTTTGACTCCCCAAAACTTAACTACAGTTGTCCCTTGGTACCTATGGGGGATTGATTTCAAGATCCACATATATCCAAGTCTTTATACTAAATAGCATAGGACAGTGCATACAGTCAGCCTTCTGCACCTGCAGATTCCCAACCATGTGTTGAAAATAGTTTTTTCAGTCTGTAGTCTGTTAAATCTGTGGATGTGGGACCCAGGGATATGGCGGGCTGCGGGCTTTCAGATCAACTCAATCCTGTTTAGACCATGTACCCAGGGATCATTGATATCTCCCATTAACAATATGACATATATACTATATACAGAAAATGTTTGAATATATATCATGGAATCGTTTTAGCTCCAGCTCTTAGTGTCAGAATGCCTGAGTTCAAACTCCAGCTCTACCATTTACTGGAGGTATGACCTTGGGCTTCCCTCTTCTGTAAAATGGGAATAATAATAATACTACCTGTCTCATAGTGGTGTTGTGAGGATTAAATGAGATGATACGTGTAAATAGTTGGCAGTGGCTAGCATATAGTAAGTGTGGTACAGAGGAAACATTTGGTGCATTTGTGTGTGTGATGGTGGATGTTAAAGTCCAGACTCTGTTTCACAGCAGCACTGACCGGCTGCTCTCAGACCCAGAACTGAGCACTGCAGAGAGCCCTCTGGCTGACAAGAAGGCTCCAGGGAGCGAGCGAGCTGCAGAGAGGGCCGCAGCCGCCCAGCAGAACTCTGAAAGGGCTCGCCTGGCCTCCAGGCCATCATATGTCAACATGCAGGTAACGATAAAATGAGTGAGAGGCTCATCCAAATGTAGGGGCTGGGGATAGAGAATGGCAAATTCAGAAACTAGGTTTTCTTTCTGTACTCTAGTCCAAATTAAATTTAAATCTATGTGCAGTAGTTAGGAATTGGTTTTGCTATAAACTTTAAACATGAAATGCAGGATTTGGCTTAAATGGTTAAGTTATCCTATATAATAAAAGGCTAATATGCAAATTGACCAAACAGCGGAATGACCGGTCGCTATGATGCACATTGACCACCAGGAGGCAGATGATCAATGCAGGAAGTGCCCCCTGGTGATCAGTGTGTTCCCAGGAGGGGGAGCACTGCTCAGCCAGAAGCCCTGAGCTGGGCTCATGGCTGGCGAGTGCAGCAGCGGTGGTGGGAGACTCCCACCTCCATGGCAGTACTAAGGATATCCAACTGCCGGTTTAGGCCCACTCCCCACAGAGAGTGGGCCTAAGCTGGCAGTAGAATATCCCTTGAGGGCTCCCGGACTGCGAGAGGGTGCAGGCCGGGCTGAGGGACTCCCCAAGTGCATGAATTTTGTGCACCAGGCCTCTGGTTTAAAATATAATATGAAAGGTAATGTGAATGGTCCGTGTCACTATGTGTAATGTAAATGACACTGTTCACCTGTTGTTTTATTAAATTTTAGATAAATAACAAAGCTGTTATTCCTAAGTATTACTGCCTCTTGACATAGTCTTGAATAAATATAATAATCCTTCTATCTATAAAATGGAGGTAATAAATTTGATGTCTTTTAGGCAGTTATAAAAATAGCTAATATGAAGCGTTAGTTTTTTGAAAATAGATGATAAATATTATTGATGATTATATTGAGTCACAAATTTTTATGATTACTTTAAACAATTTCCTCAGGGATTTTTCTCTATATCTGTAGTAGGCTAACTACTCAAAGTAGACTATTGAACATGAAGTTCAGAAATCTGATTTCTGTATAGATGACAATATGAAAGATAGGGATTTTGTGCTTTTAGAGATTCCTATAACCATTTGATTTCAGTACCATAATTATTGGGTAGACTTGCCTACTTCATAATAAGAGATATATCGCCCCACTCCCCAACGCCAAAAAAAAAAAAAAAAAAAAAAAAAAAAATCCTAGAAACCAAACTGTCACAGATATATAAAGAGATTAATTCGTGGAACTAAATTATACTTCTTTAATTCCAGCAAAAGCTACAACTCAATCCCGCTTATCCGTTCTTTTAATCCTTTGCATTTGAACATTTCCATGAGATTTTTAGATGAATGTTTTCACAAAGCCATGGCCTTTATAAAAGTGTCAAAAATTTTTTAAAAAATGATAGTTGATACATTTTCTCTAGCGGCTTATTTTCAGTTAATATAAATTAAAATTCCCTCCTCAAAGATGTATCAAATCCGCTTCATGATCCCTGTATGGTTTTTGTCCATCTCGTGGTTCTTACTTTCCATCCATTTTATAACTAGAGTGAACCACTTCCGTGTTTCTTTCTTTTAGGATGGATAAGCAATGTTCTGGTGATACAGTTTCAACTTAAATAGATGTTTTTGTGCCATTACTACAGAGCTGACTTTTAAAACCATAAGAAATCAATGACAGTAGTCATCTAGCATTGACGGGGAAAAAGAGTGAAGACTCCTTGATTCCCCCAGCTGAGAACTCTCTGTCTCCAGCGGTCCTTGGAGAGCTGAATCCCCAGCTCTCTCCACACTTATCTCACTTCCTAATTTATTTTGTAGTTATTTCCTTTACCCATCCCTGCTGAGGCTCTCCGTGCTCTGAGGCTATAGGTTTTATTTTTCATTTTTTTTATTAATTGTGGTTTTCTTCCACAAAGTGCCGCACAGTCTCTTTAACTTGAGGCACTCCATACATATTTATTGAACAAGTGAATGTAGGATCTTCCCGCACCTTGCACTTAGATGTTGATCATTAAAAGTTGATTTTAATTTCCATTGCCATTTCAGATCTAAAGTTTCAAAACCATCGTCAAATGTGTTCTCTAAAAATCCACTCTCCTGATTTACTGCCACGTTCTCAGAGCTCACCACACGTCCTGGTTTGTCAGGGTCAGCCCGTTTCCTTGTGTTATCCTGACCTAAGTATTATTTGTGGCACATTCCCGCTTAGAAGTCTCCTGTTTCACACTGTGAATTACCTGGGTGTGCAGCCTACATATGGTAGTGTGGTCCCCTGGGAAAAGGGTTAGAAGAGCTCTTGCCAGCTGTTTCTCAGCCTCCTGGTAGCCTTTCAGACATTGTTAATCAAGTCTCAGTTCCTCAGCTGGGCAGTTGAGAACACTGGGTTAGCATGTGAGATGTCGCTCTGTCTAGCCCACTTTCTTCCAAATGACCTACCTTGGTTTCTGTGTAGACCTGACTGTGTCATATGTCACTTATTCAGTGTGAATGAAATGGTGGATAGTGCCATCCTACTCCTATGCAGTGCAAGGTAGCTAGGTTTAGTTTATTGTAATGCTTACTGTTATTATAGCTTAAAGCTCGACATTTGCTATTTTTCTCCTTTCAAAAGCAAAGACCATTCCAATTAGGCTAAATAATTTCTTAAGCTGTCTGGACATTACACCACTTCAGGCCATCCTTTGAAGAGGGGATTTTGAGAAACAAATGAGGCCGGTAGATAACCTGAAAGCATTTTCATAATGCTTTATTTTGAAACTTAGCAGAACTACTATTAAGTTATTTACTGTGCTTTAGCATATACTTATCCTGGTGTTTTAAATATTCATAGAAAATAGGATTTTTTTTTTCTTTTGAAGGAAGATAAGGAAGATTTCTGGCTCTTGTCATTGTCTCAACTTAAAGTCAAAAGTAGTCATTTATACTCTAATTAATTAGATTTGAACACATGTTTAAATTGATCAGACTTGCACTGAATTAATGAGACATTATGGTGCTTAGCAGGTAGGGCTCTAGTCAAAACCTTGGTTTTCTAATCAGCATGACATTTGGATAAACTGGCAATAAAATATTTTCGCTCTGTTTTATTTTCAGGCATTTGACTATGAACAAAAGAAGCTATTAGCAACCAAAGGTATGTGATATAGTAATGATTTTGATTCTCCCCTCGCCCATCAAAGACTCATAAAAGATTCTCCAGTATTCACGTTGAATTGTGAAATTGGACCGTCGTAAAAAAAAATGTTTAAGTTCAAAGTTGCAAAAGTTTTGTTGGGGTTAAATGTACTTTATTGAGTAGATCAGCATTAGATCAATTATGAAATAATGTAGCATTTTAAAATATAATGGCATAAAATATTTTATGATGATATTTTAAGTCATTTTGTATTAAATAATGTTCAGGTATGATTTCTTTACATGTATCAAGGGAACAGCACGCATCAATATTTTAAAAAATATATTAAGAATATCAAGCATTTTGTTGTATATTCTGTGTTCCAAAGCTATGTTAAAGAAACCAGTGGTGACGGAGGTCAGAACACCAACAAACACCTGGAGCGGCCTCGGGTTTTCCAAGTCCATGCCGGCCGAGACCATCAAGGAGCTGAGAAGGGCCAACCACGTGTCCTATAAGCCCACAATGACAACCACTTTTGAGGTTTGTAGAGTCATCCCTACCCAGTCTTCCTGTCTGCTCTCAGCAAAGGAGAACAGTCATCGCTCTCCCCCCTTCCATTCTTCATTAAGTAAGAAAAGTCATTAATGGGAGTTGTTTTAATTTCTATTCTTATAAACATATTGCTATAAAATGGATGCACTCTATCATGCTTTTTTACATGTCTTCTCTCAGAGTTGTGGATCAGCTGTTCGTTATGGAGATGTAAATTCATAACTGAGTTTTTGTTAGGAGGAGAGTGTTGTAAATGCTAAAACAAGGCTGAGATTAAGCCAAGGATAGATGTAACAATAGTCCATAAAATGTATAAAGAATCCTTGTATTCAGGGGTATCACTAGCAAGCCCACCATAGGGAGAAAAGGCAAATATTCAATAAAAGCAAGTGTTCAGATATGAGTTAAAAAGTCAGTGTGTTCAGTTGTGCCAGGAACACAGCAGGAAGTATCACAAACAAGAACTCCAGAATTTTATGTTTCCCAGATGTTGGCTGCACTGCAGGGTAAGACTGGGAAGCTGGCATCTGCGCCACATGGAGAAGGGATCCAGAGTTCCCAGCTCCCCAGCCGGGCTACACATGACGCGCCCGGCCAGCCTTTTCAGCTTGAGAGGACCAGATTTTGGCTCTGAGCCCTTTGCGAGTGGGGATGGAATAAGAGCGCACACGCATGCACACACCAACTGGGGAGACTGAGCAAACCCAAACACGGATGGAAATGACCGATCCAAGAATCACAGTGTTCAACCAGAACACTGCAGACGGAAAAACAAATACTGGTGAAGGGTTTCATAATTGTTAGTCTAATCACTAGCATTTGTAGATTGACCTTCTTCTTTCCACCTGTTTTCTTTGTAATAAATTAGACTATTGACGAAGGGTAAAAGCAAAAGTGCATTTTTTCTTCGTCTCTTTGCGTGAGTGAAGAAGCAAATACTATTGAAATACTAAAAGGAGGTCAGTCTCCTATGAATTTTGAATTTCATTGTCAGGCCTACAGTAGCAACCTGACCGCTGTATTTAAAGATTGAGGTTACGGTCAGCAATGAGAAGATAGGGACGTAGGGAAAAGTCCTCTTGCTGCCATTGTAGCTCTTAGAGAAACTAAACAACTTTTGTTGGCAGTGACCTTAACACTGTGCTAATTCTTTCAACGGATGCACCTACAGTCTCATCCATTTCACTCACCTTTGTTTGGTAGGATGGGGTGTGCCGAAATGCTAATTCAGTTCTGTTCTCAAAGGCCAACAGTGTGACGGTTTGAAATGATCATTGTGACAATGTAGTCAAGTGCAGGGGCTGTGGGGTCCGGCAACCGCCACTGATCGATGTACAGCTCTGGGGAGTGACTTCACTCCTCCGAGCCTGTTTTCTCATTTGGTGGTTTAGAGGATCACAGGGCAGAGGGCAGCCAGTGCATAGCATGGTGTACGGTAAGTTCTGAGTAATACTTAGCGGTTCCTGTTATTTCCACTGGAGAACTTTACCCTGAAGAAAACCAAGAGCTTGGAATGTTGATGAAGGAGGCTATTGGTGGCAGTTGTGGAAATAGAGAGGAGTGGGTAGGTGTGGGTGTATTTAGAGATAACATGGACAGAATTTGCCGATGGATGGGATGTGGTGCGGGAAGGAGGGGGGAGAATGACTTGAGCAACTGGGTAAATGGTAGAGTTACATATTGAGATGTAGGGATTCTAAGAAAGGAGTAGGTTTGGGTGTAGCTGGTGGGGACAGATATACAACAGTTTAGTTGCAGGTACCCTAAATTTAAAGTGAGACAGTTACATGGAGGTGTCAGATTGGCAGCTCCAGGATAGTAATTTGAACAGAAAAGTTAAATCTGGAAGTAAAAATTTTGGAGTCCTGGATGTAGTTAAACCTTGAAAGAGGTGAGATTACTGAATAAGAGAGAAGGAATGCCAGATCAAGCCCAGTGAGATGACATTCAGAGTGGAAAGGGAGGAAGATCCTACAAAGCTCCAGTGCCGTAGGCGGAAACCCCGGGAGTGTGGTGTCCTGGTGCCTTGAAGGAGGAAATGTGAGAGGAGGGTGTGGCCCGCTGTGAGACCGAATTAGGTGAGAGTGTTGAAGTGAACAGTAAAGGATTCTCTTGGAATTCCCCAGTGAATGTGAAACTTTGGAAATCAGAGAATCTTGGTGTTAATTTTCTAGATCCCGTTCAAAATAGGGTGTCTGTAATATGGTGATGGAATGAATAAATGCTAGTTCTGTGCAGACTTTGAGATCTTTTAAGTTACTATTTTGATTTGGGGGAATGAAATAAGGTAGACTTTTCTAGGTATTTGTGATTTGTTGGAGAGATCCTGTTTAGATGAGGCCAACACCGGGGTCATGCCAGATCTCTCTCCGCCCTCCAACTTGATTAGCCTGGTAGCTGAATTCTTGTCAAAGCATTGGGTCTACTATTCCTCTTCCCCATTGTTTGTCCTTTTTGTGTGGCACAAGGCAGAGAATCTCTTGTAGATCTTTACAGGAGTAAGTCTTTATACCGAGGACTCTCAGAACTCTGCTGGGCACCTTCACGATGAGGGACAGAGATTTCACGGTGTATATTTCCAAGTCCTCGGTGGCTGGAAGACAGAGGATAGAGACAGGGACCACAGCCTCGTCCCCAGGAGCAGCATCCGTGGGTGACTGCAGTGGTTAGCAATTGAAGTAAATGGCAGTGGTCTACTGGGGATTCTTTCCCCTCCACCCACCTTATTAAACATTTCCTTGTCTGGCTTTCCTTGTTGACAGGGCTCATCAGTGTCCCTCTCGAGGTCCAACAGCCGTGAGCACTTGGGAAGCGGAAGCGAATCTGATAACTGGAGAGACCGAAATGGAATAGGACCTGCCAGCCATAATGAATTTGCAGCTTCTATTGGCAGCCCCAAGCGTAAACAAAACAAATCAAGTGAGCTTTGACTTTTAATCATACTTTTAGGTGTAATCAGCATGAAATTTGTTTATTTGGTTGAGGGTGATGTTCAAGGATGAATTCTGCACTCCGTGCCTTCCCGTGTTTGTCATAATTCACAGGCCACCTCCTCTGGGAAACCTTCCTTCTTTTCCCCGGGGAAGCAGACCAGGTGGTGTTCTGCTTTCACCGAATTTTGTACTTGCTTTTACTCTAGCACCTATCAAGAGTGTAATTACCTGTGTATGTACTTGTCTCCTCCTGTTGAATTTGAGCTCCACAGCCAGGGACCATATTTATTCATTCAGTGAACACTTTTTAAATGCCCACATGCCAGACATTCTGGTGGGCTGTGCCTGATTTGTTCTTTCTTCCCAAATGTCTGACAGTGTGTGACACCCAGTAGGTGCTCAGTAAATGCTTGTTGAATGAAAGTAGGAAGGAGTCACGCACACACACACACACACTCAGAAAATGCTTTTTCTCATCCGGAAAAGGCAGGGACAGGAAGATGTGGAGCAGACTGTGCTCAGATTAGCATCTTGGACAACAGAAGAAAGTCTGCTCTGTAGGTAGCTCCTGAAGGTGAAAAGCAGCATTTGATATGTTAAATGGACAAGATGTAACTGAATTTATGTAAATTTAATTTATCTTTAAAGCATAAGGGTTCTGGCTTTAAAAAGATACGGTTGAGACTCAGCATGAGTCCAGTGGTTTGTCTGTAATAGCACCCACACTTCTGGGCTGTGTAACAAGGTGAGCAGATGAGAACTGGCAATAGTCATCACAATACATGCCTCCGTTCAGGGTTTGGGACGAATTGGGAGCCCTGAGACACAGAGCGTGCAGGATTTGAAGGCTCCTTAAAAGCCATCTAAATGAGCACAGTAGTAAGTCAGGTGTTACCACCAATCAAGTTGCTGTGCTGTCGAGGGTCTCCGATTTGAGAATACCGGTCTGGGGTCGGCCAAGTCTCAGTAAGAGAGCACGGTCAACTCGTTCATGCCCTTGTGCGCTGTCTGTGGGCGCCTGGGCCCTTCCTGGAGACGGGGGCTGGGTCCTCCATCACTGACAGGAGGACGGACTGAGGTGGCTGGTGCCAGGCAGATCTAGAGGTGGAAGTGACCTTTGTCCTGTATCCCAAAATAAATTAGTCCTGTGCCTCTCCTTTCCCTTCACTTGATGCTGGATAATTAAAATTGTCTGTAAACTTAAATGCACTGAGGTTCAGGATTAGGGATAAAATTTCAGAATTCTTTAATAAAAGGGAATCATTAAAGAAACAGTTATTTTGCTTTTGTCAGATGTTTTAAGAGAATAGGGAGTTTAAGTAGTTACGATAAAAAGAAACAATGTACACTAACAGATATCACTAAGAATATTTTAGCACATCTTTTTTTTCACATTTTATTAATGAATTTTTTTATCTCAATCTATGCCAAGTATTATTTAACCATATAATCTACATAAAGATATTTTTATATAATATTTTACATTTTTATACTATGTCTTTAAAATCTGGTGTATATTTCACACTTACTGAACATTTTAATTGTCAATAGCTACATACTAGTATAGCCAATGGCTACTGTACTGAACAGCACAGTTTTAAGTAATTTTTTTTTTACACCCTCATCAGCATTACCAATGTCTAGGTTTTCTCCAGGCATCCCTGTTTATACCAGTTGTTCCAGTGTTAATTCTCAATAACTCCCACTTTTACTCTCAAAAATGTAAATTTATCATTTGGACAATTATATGGTAAACTTACCATGTTGTCAAGTCCAGTGGTCACTTCATTGTGCCCATCGTATCCTGCTTGGCATCACCCTTGACCCAGTACATCACTGGTCACTCCCTCTCAATCTTTTCTGGTGACATGGGGCCTTACCTCCAAATGGTGGAGTGGTCCAGGGCCGAAGGCCTTCTGAACTTGGTTCTGGATCCTTTTTCGTCACATTCTCTCCACAAGAGATAAGACATCTGTTTTTAAGAGAAAGAGAACTTTTATCAAGAAATTCCTTCCACTTGAGATAAAGGACTCCTCCATTGGGAGATAAAAACAACTTAAGGAAGTTATTAGTGGCACCCAAAACAGTGCAGAACGTAATGCTTAGATTTGGTGAACCCACTGACCCCAGAGGAGATTAGGTGGACCTCACTGGTCAGGTGAGTGTCCTCCTTCCCTCTCTCCCTAGGAATCCCCTGTGAGGCTGCATCTTTGGTGTAAGAAGATTGAATCCCTACATCGACAAGAGCCAGCTGTTGGCTGGGGATACGGGCTGCACAGCTCCGCTAGAATCTCCAAAGCAGATCTTGAAGAGTATTTAAATATTTGATCAACTACTTGGCCTGGCTCACGAGGCCATCACCCAGCTGTGCATGTCACTGGGCCTGAGAACTATACACAATGTGGAGAGATCTTCACCCATAAATCAGTTTTAGAGCCAAGCAAAGCTCAGCATTGCTGTCTTAGAGAATTTTTCTCAAGAGACCGATTTGTTTCTGTCCTAAATGAAATCCGGGAACTCCAGCAGCATTTCTGTCTCACTTCATGGTACTCTTCATGTTGGAAGTCCTCTATTTTGTGAGCTTACGGCCCAATTCTATTTTTGTAGGGAAGGGGATTTCTGTGGTGCACTATTACAGAATCCCTCTGACCGCAGGTGAGCACAGGTGTGGAGGCAGAGAGCCGTCTGAAAGGAGCCTGGACCTGCAGTACCTTTCCGTACCTTAATTATGTCCCGAGGGTCTGCCTCCCGATTCCTCCCTTAATTCACACGCAATCAGTTATAAAGAGCAAATGCTTCTGAATGCTCCATGAGAAAGTGATTAATGATTATTAACTGCAGAGGCACTGTTGCTGAATTGCTGCCTCCCAAGTGTAACCTTATAAATGGCAAGAGCCTCTCTGAAAGCAATAACCGGCATTTCGTTAATGAAAAGCCAGTGTTTCACTCCGTAAAGGATTGCTCTGCTTCTGCAGCTACAGTTCTATTCAGCCCAGCAATGAAGCTGAAATATTGGAGGGATTAAAACTTTTAATTAAACCTTGTTCTCTCCGGGCATTTGCACTTCAAGCCTGTCTCTCGTTTGCCCTTCAGCGGAACACTATCTCAGCAGCAGCAATTACATGGACTGCATTTCCTCGCTGACAGGAAGCAATGGCTGTAACCTAAACAGCTCTTTCAAAGGCTCTGACCTCCCTGAGCTCTTCAGCAAACTGGGTCTGGGCAAATACACAGACGTCTTCCAGCAGCAAGAGGTCAGTCATTATTTACTCATCCCCCCCCCCCCCCCCCATCTTCGTTTGGGTTCTGTGTATGACGACTTCTAGAATGAAATCCCTCACTGACCTGTGACTGTTTTCGCTGAGCATTGAGTCAAGTCTCATAGCTTGTTTTTGCTGCTAAGAAAAACGTGATCTCATTTCCTATTTAGTGCAACTAGTAAACACAGGATGTGTGTTCACAAAAACACCCCTTCAATAGTTTTAGCTAAACAGTGTATTGATTCATTGCTCTCAAGGTCAGCAACAAGTCTGTATTTAATGTGATTTCACACTTTAAACTATTATCTTTATTTGTGGCACTTAAATACCAGTACCTGAAATAAATGCGTGGTTGTTTCTGACCCCATCCTCCTCACGTTGCTGACGTCTGTTCTCACAGAGTATAATGTACTTTTTTGCATGCTCATTTATTCTTTAATTTACTGATTGGCTTTTACGTAAACTGAGATGTTTTCTGAACCATCTCTACCATGGATTTGGTCTAACTACTCAGCCATGGCCATTACGCTCTGGCATAGAGAACAGAGCGTGACTCTTTCTGATAATGCTGTCATTTTACCCAGGCACAGCTAATCCAGTGCAGCAGAGAGTTAGAATAGTTCCATAAATGTGTCTATTCAATTCTAGTTTGACACTAGCATCTTAGAGACCATCTGATTAAGTCAGTAATTCCCAGATCAGTGAAGAATCCAGAATTTTTTAGTGCTTTGTATCATAAATTTAAGGTATTGCCCGTAGCTCAATAACTTAAGTTTGATTGCTGAACTTTACTTTTTTTTTTTTATAATACCAAAAAGGTTATAATGTGTATATTGGATAATTAGTGTTCTAAATTTAACCAAGGATATTGTGAGTTGAATAACATTTTCATCATCAGTGCATCAAGGAATTGCACTTATTTAGTCCTGCTGCTTAGATGAGGGTGGCTGATTGAGAAGTTCAAGGGCAGAGGTATTTTTTAACTTGTCCAGAAACAAAAGGTTTCCAAGTGAGATTAGATATTATTCAATAACATTCAGGGTTTCTTTTTAATCTATAGTATTTATTTGAAGAAGCATAGAAATAAATTTATTATAGGTACTTCTTATCCACTTATTTCAAAAAGGAAGAAAATATGATCATATAAAACAAAGGTGGCTGGCTTTATTTCATATTTATTAGCTTAGAGCAGACTACAGCCTGCAGACTTGCTGCCTGATTTTGTCAGTAAGAGTTTTGGTTGGAACACAGCTTCATTTATATTTTGTCTGTGGTTGCTTTTGAGCTCAAACAGGAGACTTGAGTAGTTGCAACAGAGTCAATATGGCCCACAAAGCCTAAAATAATTACTGTCCTGCCCTTTATTTCAGGCATCCCCAAATTCTTAGTCTCCATTAAATAGAATTTCTAAAAACATAGCTTTAGATCTATGATAAATGAAAAACAAAAAGGTTTTACAAGATCTGGGTGTAACTTGTAAATCAAAACAAAATTTCAAATTAATTTCTTGAAAAAGTATGCATTACTATTTTAAGGTGTGTTGAAATTTGGTACTGCTTCCTTTATTTAGGATATTTTCCAATATTCAGGTATAACTTAATAAGAATTGCCCATTAACTAACCTTGTGAGATTTATTTAGCAACTTTCCCAGATATTTCTGTATACATTGTTATCAGCCATAGCTGCCCATTCTTTTATCCCCTTGGTGAGCCCTTTGCTTTATGTCTACAATCATATTTAATGCCCACAAAAGCCCTGCACGGTACACTGCTGTCAACCTGTGTACACACAGAAGTCTTGTCAGAGTCACAATCTGAACCCATCTCTCTCTGCCTTTGGAGCCCAAGGCCCATCTGTTCTTCCACACTGTCTCCCAGGGCGGGATGAGATCCTCGGCTAGCTGCCCTCCACACTTCGTTGATGATGCCACAGAGCACAGTTATACTGTTCCTGGAAATATTCTTGTCTGCCAGACCCAGCCAAGTAGGTCATGGGTCTGATGAAGCCCGGGAATTCCTCTGTCATTCTTATGTAAAACACGGTGGAAGGTACCATCTATGATATTTATAATTCGGCTTCTTTTTATACAGATATACTTCACTAAGTCAAAGCTAAGAAATATTTTCTCTCTTCTGGGCAGATATGTATTCTTCCTTTTATCAGTTCACACACACACAAAAAAAATGTACAATTTGTATTTCCCTTTTTGTCCCAGCTTCCAGGATGCTCAGATCTGTTTTTAATCTCACATGCAGTAAATCGCTGGCTTAGTCTAAGTCTACTGATAGAATAATCACTTTTGTTTCATCCCCTTAATTACTTTACTCTTGTCCCTTAGGTTTGTGACATAACTGTTTTTTTTTTTGGAAGTAGGCAGAGTATAATTAATAAATAAAGTAGGTGTAACAAGGAGTTGAACCTACAGTGAGGAAGAAAATAAATCCTTAGTATATTGGTTATAGATTACCTTTTCACCCACAGATCGATCTTCAGACATTCCTCACTCTCACAGATCAGGATCTGAAGGAGCTGGGAATTACGACTTTTGGTGCCAGGAGGAAAATGCTGCTTGCAATCTCAGGTGAATATAAATGCTCACACTCATATTTTAAGTCTGAATAACTTCTGCCAGTAGGGCTGGTTCGACTCATTTACACTTGCTTGCCACCCGGGCACCTTGGTGGTTGTGGTTTCAGAGTGCTTCCTGCTAACAGTATGACCAGTGCTCAGAACATCCCCTCTTTCATCAAGACATCGCCTGAAAACCTGCTGTGACAGTATCGTTCCTTAAAACAGATTTCTCCAGAAAGATCTAACCAAAATTGCCCTTTGCAGAACGTGAGCCAGGGGTTGCAGCACAATTCTCCTTTCTTGTTGTTGTGTTCGGCAGCGATCACTGGGTTAGTGAATATGATTCTGGATTGGCTGTCGTGTTTCAAGTGCATGTGTGCTGTATACCAACAGAGGTCATTGCGGAGGTGAATGCTCCGTGGTAGTGGCAGGTATTACTTGTCTGAATGCTTTCTATTTTTTTATTTTTTTTTTTACTAAAGTTTTCATGAAATTTGTGAGTCACAGAAGGGTGTAGGATCCTGAAATTAGTCACAGAATGAAGGAAAATAATGTTGTCTGTCTCCCAGACTGCCTTCTGTATGCAGCGGCTTCATATTCTATGTATTACAAAATGCTCTACACATATTTACTGGGGACCCCCTATTTGAAAGGAGTTGAGCCAGCTGATGAGTCAGGAGTCGGCAAATACAGAACAGTGTACCTCCAAAAGGTGTTTTGAGAAATATGAGGAAGAAATGGGGGGGTCAAACTTTGGGTTACTTTTTGAAGACTGTCTGATGAATATCCGTGTTTCAAAAACGTAGACACCAAGGGCAAAAGCCAGGGGTGGGGTGTGGTGAGAATATGACTTGGCTTTTTCAGAACATTGAGGCTGCAGGCTGTGCCTTTTTGAGGCCAGCAGGTGCATCCAGCTGGTGAGAGTCCTTTGCAAACAGCAGTCACTAATCAGATCAGCAAGTAAAATTTAAACCTCAGTGGTTTTCCATTTTGTTTTAGCAGCAGATTGCATCCCCCACCCACTTCCCCACAGGAAATCTTATCTATAGACCTAATATCTGAAACAGACATAAGCGGAGCAGCTTTGAATCAGGGGTAGAAATTCAGCCATCAAGCAGCCTGTTGGGTCCTCTGTGGATCAACATGGTTCTGCACGCATCAGTGATTAAGGACGTCTTCCTCCACCCTGTGTCCCCAAGCGGCTGCATTAAGGGAGTTCCACAGGGCAGACGCTTTTTCTTTTTTGCTCATAAGATCAGCTTGACACAGTACAAAGAACACTGGATTCAAACAAGGAGATTTGGGCTTTGCCTCTGCCATCGCGTGAGTCCTTGGGCGAGTTTCCAAAACCATGAAGGTGGATTGGAATAGATGATCCTGTGAAGTTACCTTATATTTCTACATCTATCCTTCCACGTGGTGCAAATAGGAGTAGCAGGGGCCTCCCCTGTTGTTGTTTTTATTGTCTGTGTAAATAGGATAATTTGTTTTTTTAACTTGTTTACCCTAAAGTTCCACCTCAGAGGGCTATACCTAGAACTAAATTTACTTTACATATTTTCGCATTCATCCATTAATGTGAAAATGGAATTTACACTATACTTGAAATTTGATTAACTCACAGAATCACCACGCTTATATTAAAATATGCCTGTGGGCCAGCACATTTATAGAAGAGAAGAATGTGTTCCAGAACTCCATGATCTTTCTCTAGAGATTCATGGAATGTCGGTGACAGTAAAATGAAAGTTCAGTTTTCTTTGTGTACCAACCCACTTCCAAACTCTGTAAGGCTTCCAGCAACAAGCAGCCATCTCTCAATACTTCCAAGGGCTCCAGCTGGATTGTTACCATCTTTACTTGGAACACGTTTGTGATCTATTCCAGGTGGGTTTGGGGGAGTTCAGTGGGAAACAGCAGGGAGGGGGTTTGAGTCCTCTTTAAAAACATGTTTTATCCAATCATCATCTTCAGCGTGGATCTGCTGAGGTTATAGCTCCCGTAGCCGGCCTCTCAGTGGGACTCACAGGTCCTTGCTGTGAACGGGAACGGAACTTTGAGTAAGATGCCTTATGAATGCTCTGCACGGCAGGAAGTACTTGATTATTTTAAGAATGATTTCACCTCACTTTGTTGCCTGCATTTGTTTGAACCTGGTAAATTGTTTTCTCTGCAAATAATCAGTTTTTATTGAGAAGCCCTTCATCAAAAAGCTTCTTTTTCCAGTTCAGCTCATTTGATAACAAACACATCCATTTATAGCCTCAGAACATTCCATTTCCAGGTAGGTGCAGGATAGCTGGGCAGCTTGGACGTGCGTTGGCCTTGGCCTTGTGGTTACAGAGTTTGCTCACAATTCCTTTTTAAACCTTTAAACTTATAATCAGAGTTCTTTCAGTGTAAGGTTTGGTTCTGTTTTTATTTGGAGCGACAAGACATGTATTTTTGTGTTATAGGAGATGAGGTTTATCTCTAGTAGAAATGGATGAGAGAAAACAATGATTTTTTCTTTAAATCCATGATTTTTTGACAATTTTTTTACTTCTCTCAGTATTTTCGTAAGTAGTTAGCTAAATATGCAGGGACTGAGTGAAAGGACGTTTAGCATCCTGTTGTCAGGCTTCCCGCCAAGGCCTCAGGTAGATCTAACATTTCCCGACCTATTCTTTTAGTTTGTGACTCTGTTCAGATCCGCAACAAGATCCTGAGAGCTGCCAGGATTGTGTGACCCTTGGAATTTCAGAGAAAAAGGTTGGTATTTTCCCAATTATCCCTTAGGCTTATTGGAAAAAGAAAAAAAAAGGACAGAATTTGCTTTTTAATTTAAAAGGCTAAAGTCTATTCAATAGGATTTGGTCCTTGAGAGTCTACATTCTTTAGGGAATGGCTGAATTCCTTCACAGTCATTTTATTCTTCCCAAAACCTAGTTGATAGGACTTTTCAGAGTAAAGTTTTCAATGTCTATGAAAAAATTGTTTTCTTCACTGGCCCATTGGTTTTCGTGTGCTCAGTTGGACGTGTTCCGTGGGATAAGAGAGTAGAATGTTTGCCCTCATTCACGCCTTTCCTCCTCTATAGTATGGGAGTGTGTGTCCTGGTGCATGGGTTATTCCCCCACGAGAAAATGAAGGCCAAAGTGTTTCAACTTGAAGGTGACAAAACTTTCCCAGGCTGTGCACTTCAGAGGATTCATCTATTCTTAACTCTCCTATACTTGCCTTTAAATATATTAAATTCTGTCTTGATTTCTGAATTTCTGCAGGAACTTGATACAGTAGCTATCTATAAGCATGCCTGCATGTGTCTTTTGCTTGTTAAGGTATCTTCCTTGCTTCTTTAAAGTTTTTAAGCTACATTTTTCTATTTTTTTAAAAAAACTGGCATATGAACTGTGAAGCAAAGCTCTGCTGTCTGGCATAGGTGGGACTACCAATTTCTCAAATTTGTGTTCCTGATGCTTTGGTTGGTTTTCGCACAGTGGATGGATCCCTGCAGCCCAGGGCCTGGACCTTTGCATCAGGCAGGGTTAAAGCTTGTCACTTAACTGCTTACTTTGACTGTTTTTTTTTAAAATCCTCACCTCGGGATATTTTTCTATTGATTTTAAGAGAGGGAAAGAGAGAGAGAGAAACGTCTATGTGAGAGAAATACATCGATTGGTTGCCTCCTGCACACCAGGACCCTGGCCGGGGAGGAGCCTGCAACCGAGGTATGTGTGTGCTTTCGACTGGAACCCAGGACCCTTTGGTCCACGGGCCACCACTCTGTCCACTGAGCCAAACAAGCTAGGGCACTTAGACTATTTTTAAAACTCAACTTCCTTGCCTATAAAATGGAGAATGGTAATATTATCTACCCCTTAAGGAGGACTTAAATACAACAAAACAAATATAAAGTGCTTGTCATATAAACTCTAATAAATCATGACATTTTTCTTCTCCCCGCCAAGACCTAAATGTGAACAAAAAAGAGATGTCTCTACTTATGCATTGCCCCCATGGGGCAGACACTTACGTTTTGGAAGGCAGTGAGGTGAAATGTTAAGGGTGTTGGTCGATTTTCCAGAACTCGGGAGACCAGAGCACTTCTGGCCATCTGGCTGTCCTTGGCCACCGGTGACCCCCTGCAACATGGGTCTGTGTTTTTCATCTCAGCATTACTGTAGCCAACCATCGCTTGCAGTGCAACTTCAGAATTCGAAAGGGGATTGTACCTGTGTGTGGTTAAAAAGGAACTGAATCCTGTGCCAATATAAGGTGCTCAATCACTGGCTCCATCCTGCCCCCCCCCCCCAAAAAAAAGACAACTTTAAGCATATTAACTATATAATCTCTCTATTTGAAATTGAATACGTTGGAAGATATCTGGCTATCAGAGGCCAACAATCCTGTTCCTTGTATTAATTCACCAGCAAGAGTTCCATCAGCTGATAGGAGGATTTATACATTTATGTGGGGTGATGAGAATAGAGTGGTTGTATAGTCATAAACAAGGTAGGCTGCTTCAATTTTTTCCCTTTCTGGTTAATTTTTAGTTGGAAAAAGACTGTTTTCTATGTACTCTGGTTTCTTTAAAATTGAGCATCTGAGATTTCCCCGAAAAATGTAAAGTATTGGTGGTTTTCAATTGTTTATTTCCTGGAGTGGTTGCTATTTTTCACTAAGTTAACTTTCTATTCAATGAAACCTCCTGCTGCTATGCTTCTTCCTATAGCTCCTCTGACCCAAGGATCACAGGTATCACGAGTTGGTGGAGCCACAGGGCTGGGGCCGAACACAGCCATGTGTTCCTCCGATATTCTCATGTGCAGATGTGGGGTCTTTTCATGTCTGACTGTAATAATTTAATGGTTGCTGTATTTGATGTGGGTGAGCTCAACAGCTGTAGTGGCAGTCTGTGTCTTTGGTGTAATACATGCTCTCCTGTGCCTTTCACCAGCGTTGATGTCCCCCCATCCCTTTGCCTCTGAGGTGGCATTTGGGGTAGGTCAGCCTGCTCAACTTGTATATCCAGAGTTTCGAGGATCCTGAGAATGACACCTCCCCCAGACAGTTGACAAACTGCAATAACAACACTTGTTGTCCTCAGTTCTCTCGGCTACCAACATGTTGCCTTTAATATCAGACTTTCTAGCATTTCAGAAATGTCTTGACCGTCAACCAAAGGTTTTCCTTTCGCTACCAGACTTGACTCCCTCCTCCCCGAAACCTACAATACACCATTTTCTGAGCTCGACTGCCATGTCCTGTAGATTACAGACGTTCTCCATGGAGTTTCTAACACTTCTCTTTCTCTCTCTCTCTCTTTAGAACTCAATAAAAACCGGAGAAAGCTTTTCGAACCGCCAAATGCACGCACCTCTTTCCTGGAAGGTGGAGCCAGCGGGAGGCTGCCCCGTCAGTACCACTCGGACATTGCGAGTGTCAGTGGCCGCTGGTAGCAGTGCCCCCCCCCCCCCCGGGACCCCCGCCAACTTTCATCAACGTGGAGACAGGAGATCTGTGAGCGGCCATCACTGCACCCGTCCGTAGTACTCTGGTGACTGGTATCAGGACCAAAGCATCTTATTCACACCTGAATTTTGTGCCAAAAAGGAAGAAAAGAGAGAAGATATTCTTAGGTCATCATTCAGAACACCACATGCAGATTGCTTTTTTAAAAAATGGTAATTGGACAGAATTTGCAATATGAGGGTAGGGCTTTATTTCCTGTTTTTATTTACCTATATAACATATGCACTGATTTTTTTTTTTTTTTTTTTTTTTTTTACTTAAAATGAAGGATGATTTGACATCTGGGATGCCAGAAAACATTGAAGTTATTGTTTGCTTGGTGGTTTGTTTTTTTTTGGTATTTGGGGATTTTAAAAAAATAATCAAAAGTGGAATTTTCTGGTACTGCTCTAAAATAAGTATTGAGGTCTTTCAGCACTTTACACTTTCTAATTTCTTGTCCTGTGGAAATGCTCTCATTTTTATGTCACCTGATGAAATGGTACAAATCAGATTTAGTCACATTTTTCTGACTGCGTTAAATTTTTATTTGAAATGGTACTGGATTATTAGTTTCTGTGCAGAGTATCCTGTGACTTTGGGAAATGTAAGTGACTCCACTTGATTCTGGACCAGCTCTGTTCATTTATGTCAGCATCCTAGAAGCAGTGAGCAGTGAACCTCGTTCACTGTAACAGGTGCAAAGAAAGACCAAACGGACTTTGCAATATTAACCCTTTGCAGTTATCATATTTAGCTGCTGCCTATATTGCTAAAATGATGTTAATGGTTGTACTAAAGGCAAAGGGCTATTTTTAGTATACTGCCACTAAAGGATACTTATTTATATCAAACTTTTTATTTTTAGATATTATAAGCATACCGTACATAACTGATGAAATTGATATCTACTAGAGATTTATGGTAGAGCATGGACGGCATTCAACAACTGGAGCCCTAGATTGTCACTTTATTTAAAAAAGACAAATAATCATCTGACAAGACAGCACTGTTGCCATTAGGAAGAGAGATAGATTCCTGTTCTTATCATGTACACATTAGCTGCACTCCGTGTGGTCAGAGGACTCTCCTTAAGCCACATGTGTCTGCTTGCAGTAGGCTTATGTATGTTGAGAACAGAAAGGCTTTATTTAAGTCTCCAGTGACAGTTTGTAAAGACAGTGGAGTTCCAAAGGAGGGGCAAAAATGTCTGTTTTCTAAGTGGCCAGACTCATTGTTACAATCATATACTGTGAAAGTCCAAGAAATCAGGCAACGTTGTTTCCTAGGTCTTTTCAGACATCTTATTGTGGATTTATGAAGGGTTTTCAATTCATGAAGAAAATCACTAAGTGCCTCCCTTTCTTCAAAGCAATATTATTTCCAAGTGTATTAATTTGTTGAAAAACTTTCCCATAGGAAATGTTGTGAATTACCTGTACTGTAATGACTTATTTATGTTCATTACTCAAGATTTTCTACATGGACATAAACCACTATTGCATGCTGTTAAGCAGACGGCATTAGATTACATAACAATTGGGGACTTTCATACAAATGCAGATTCGCAAACACTTGCCTGGCATTTTTCCATGCCTAAGTCTTACCATGAAAGAATAAGAATTGAAGAGAAATTTTGCACACAGAAATATTTTCACTTTAAAAAAATTGTATTGGTTACTTTGAAGGCATAGATGATGGACCTGTCATAAAATTATCAATGATCGCAGCACTAAAGGGATGCTCATTTCTAAACTAAATTGCTCCCTTGGCAAGTACAGGTCACATGGACCTCCCTATCTTATGTGGCTGTACAAACACATCATGCTACACATTCAGCACAAGAATTCCAGATTTCCTGTTCAACAACTTGGTGCTCTAAATTTTATCATTTTCTTTAATGAGACTTTCCCGATTACAAAGCATTTGGAGCTCTTTTCCCAGCCCTCTATGATGCATTTGCAACACGAGGAGGATGGGATGAATGTGCAGTATTAAGCTGATGGAGGTTTTATGAACAGTGCTTTACGCCAAAGGGAAAACTGTCCCAATTAAACTAGATTAAATAGGGTGGTTAAAAATAAATAAAAAACACTGGAAATTACTTTTCTCACTTTCTCTTATGCAAGGAAGGTAATATGACACTACAGTACATGGTGTTGTCAGTGTTATATGATGCACAAAATATTTGGATTATTTGAATAAATGGTAATTTTTAATCAATCTGTGCCTTAATAGTGACCAATTATCTGTAAATATAGAACAAATACAGATTGTATTTTTTGTGTGGGTTTTTGTCCTTTTAGTGATTTTTTAAAATGAGAGATGGAATTAAACATTGAAAATGGGAATTTTCTAATCAATTGTTATATGAAAAAATAAATTTATATAACCCCTTTGTATTGCCCTTGCTAGATAAAATGCCTTTTTTAAAAAAAAATATCTCTACACAAATTCTGTGCCTCTCTTTGTTTTCTAAGACTTTTTTTTTTTTTTTTTTTTTTGGTTTTGTGTGGCTGTGTTCCGCACAATTGAAAGATGTGTCTGCAGAATTGAATATGTTCTCTTTGTCCTATTGTTCTGTGTTGACAGTTCTCATTTCACCCAGAAGCTAAGGCACTTTATTTTAGCCAGTGAATGAATCCAGGACCAGTAATCAATCACTGTTTCTGTGGCCACCCATAGGTGCATACAGCAAGAGTAATATTATAGAAGAGGTTTTATTCTTGTCCTTTCTTTTATAGAGGCTCAGCCGCATGACCACTTTGACAGCCTCATTCATCAGCAAGGAGCTCCTGACTGAAGGGACGCTGGGCTTCCTGACCCAAGCTGTCATTTCAGAGATTGACCGTTGTGCGGCCACACTGTGTGCTCTCTGTGCTTTGCCCTGAGATTCTGTCTGAGCTCATTCTCAAACAGAATCGATAAAGTTTTACTAATTCTGAGATTTGTCTAAATCTCAAAGAAAACCTAACCACCTCTTATGCACCCAGAAATCTCTCCACTTGAATTACCTGTGGTAATGGTTCTTAAAAATTGTTTCTAGCACACGAGTGCTTTTTAACAACTGAACTCTTAACTTGGGAATCCAATATTAAATCATCGTTCATTCATTCAGGCTTAGTAAGTACCAGAACCTGTTCTAGGAACAACAGTGAATGAAACACAAACCCTTGCCCTCACTAAGCTTACATTCAAAATGGAGAAAGTGGGGCTGATGAAGAGGGAATGGAGGCGAGATTTCCCCTCCCTTCAACACAGTCTCCATGTGTGTGTAGCATTCTAAGGAAACTCCAGTGCTGCTTAGAAACCCCAGTTGTTGTTTTTTACAAAACTCTTCAAAGTACCCATTTCACAGCAACAGGCCTGTGCTTTCAAATGCAAAATATCCCCAGTCTCCTTTTTCTAGGTTTTGTAGGTTTAATCACATTCTCAAAAAGAGTGTGTGGCCAAACGGATGACTCTCAGTTTTAGAATTATACTCTGCATGACCCATCGCTTTTTAGGTCTGACTTCAAGTGACTGCAGTATTTAGAAATCAGGTTTACCTTGAATTTTCTGCCACAGAGGATATTCCAAGAATGCAGTAATATAGTCACTTCACAGGGGAGTTTTACCAAGCCTCCAAGATGGTGACATAGGTTATTCCAGACTCTGTTCCGCCTCACAAGGACAACTAACAACTATCATGGACAAAACACCACTGAGAGAATCAATCCTAGAACCTGGGAATGAGGCTGAAGTAAACTCCTGCACCATAGAGAAAAGGCAGCTGCAGTGGGAAGGTAACGGAATGGTGCAATGCTGACTACATGGCCTCTCCCCCAGGCCAGTGCAGCACCATGCAGAGAGGGCTTCTGAGCTGACAGCTCCTCCAGGGGGAAAAGAGCCTAGATGACATCCAGCACCTCCCGCACTGTGGTCGCTTTGTGGCAGCCGTACACAGTGGTTTTACTCTTGGGGATCACAAGGGGATCTGCCTGCCAAAAACGGGGCATGGGCCTTCCGAAAGCTAACGCTTGGATCTGGGCAGACAGATCTCCTTCCTACAGAGAGCAAGCACTAACGAGCAGCTTTGCTATCTGCAGAATCAAGTCGGTGGTGCGGTCTCACCTAGGAAACTAGTGGCATGCAGGTCTGCTTGATTTGGGAATTCTATTAAAGTTATTTAAATAGGGAGAAACTTCCTGGAAACAAATGGAAATGAACACACAACAACCCCAAATCTCTGGGACACAGCAAAAGCGGTCCTGAGAGGGAAGCTCATAGCACTATAGGCCTACCTCAAAAAACAAGAAAAATTAATAAAAAACTATTTAACCCTACAACTTAAAGAATTAGAAACAGAACAACTAGAAAAGCCCAGAGTAAGTAGAAGGAAGGACATAATAAAGATTAGAGTAGAAATAAATGACATAGATTTTAAAAAATCAATACAAATGATCAATGAAACCAAGAGCTGGTACTTTGAAAAGATTGATGAACCTTTAGCCAGACTTATCAAGAAACAGAGAACCAACAACAAAAAAATAAAACCAGAAACAAAAGCCGTGAAGTAACAACTGACACCGCAGAAATACAAAAAATTATAAGAAAATATTCTGAGCAACTATATGGCAACAAGCTGGATAATGTGGATGAAATGGGAAAATTCCTAGAACACTATCTTCCAAAACTGAATCAGGAAGAAATCAGAAAACCCAAATAGACCAATAACAACTGAGGAAATAGATGCAGTAATAAAAAAGCTCCCAGCAAACAAAAGCCCTGCTCCAAAAGGCTTCACGGGGGAATTTTACCAAACCTTCAAAGAACAGATAAAACCTCTTCCTTAAACTATTCCCAAAAATCCGAGAGAAAGGAACACTTCTAAGCTCTTTATGAGGCCAATATTATCCTAATTCTAAAACCAGATAAAGGCACTCAAAGAGAATTACAGGCCAATATCCCTGATGAACATAGGTGCTAAAATCCTCAACAGAATACTAGCAATATATTAAAAAGATCATACACTATGATCAACTTGGATTTATTCTAGGAATATAAGGTTTTGGTACAATATTCACAAATCAATAAATGTGATATACCACATAAAACAAATTGAAAGACAAAATTACATGATCCTCTCAATAGATGCAGAAAAAGCACTCAACAAAATCCACCAACCATTTTTTATAAAAACTCTCAGCAAAGTGGGAACAGAGATCATATCTAAATATAATAAAGCCCACATGTGACAAACCTACAGCTAACATCATAATGGGCAAAAATTAAAATCATTTCCCCTAAGAACAGGAACAAGACAGGGATGTACATTCACCGCTCTTATTCAACATATTACTGGAATATGAGATCAGAAAAGAAGCATAAATAAAAGGCATTCAAATTGGAAAGGAGGAAATAAGAAACTCTCATTATTTTTTAGATGACATGATATTATACATAGAAAACCCTAAAGACTTCACCAAAAACTACTAGATTTAAAAATGAATTTGGCAATGTAGAAGTATACAAAATTAACACCCAGAAATTGATGGTATGGCATTTTTATACACCAATAATGAATTCCCATAAAGAAAACAACCCCACTGCAACAAAAATTTAAGATACTTAGGAATCAACTTAATCAAGGAAGTAAAAGACCTGTACTTGGAAAACTACAGGATGTTGGAAAAAACAGATAAAGATATAAACAAATGGGAGAGTATTCCATGTTCATTGGTAGACTTAATATCATTAAAATGTCCCTATTACCCAAAGCAATCTATTGATTAAATGCAATCCCTATTAAAATACCAATGCATATTTCACAGATCTAGGACAAATAATCCAAAAATTTTTATGGAACCAAAAACCCCGAATAGCTGCAGCAATCTTAAGAAAGAAGAACAAAGTTGGAGTGATCACAATATCAGATATCAAGTTATACTACAAAGCCACTATAATCTAAACAGCCTGATACTGGCACAAAAACAGGCACATAGATCAATGGAACAGAACAGAGACCCCAGAAATTGAACCAAGCTATTACGCTCAATTAATATTTGACAAAGGAGGCAAGAGCATACAATGGAATTAAGGGAGTCAGTCTCTTCAGTAAGTGGTGTTGGGAAAATTGGACAGATACATGCCAAAAAAAAAAAATGAAACTAAACTACCAATTTACACTCTACCCAATAATAAACTCCAAGTGGATAAAAGACTTAAATGTAAGTCGTGAAATCATAAAAATTCTTGAAGAAATCATAGTCAGCAAAATCTCAAGACATCTGTCATAGCAATATGTTTGCAGACACATCTCCTAGGGCAAAGAAACTAAGGAGAAAATAAACAAATGGGACTACATCAAAATATAAAGTTTCAGCACAGCAAAAGAAAGAAACCAACAAAATGAAAAGTGAGCCCACAGTATGGAAAACATATTTGGTAATGATCCATCTGGTAAAGGGTTAATATCCAAAATATATAAGGAACTCATACAACTTAAGGAAGACAAACAATCCAATTAAAAAATGGGCAAAGGATATAAATAGATACTTGTCTAAAGTGGACATCCAGATGGCCAGGAGACATGGAAAAATGCTCAAAGTCACTGATCGTCCAAGAGATGCAAATCAAAATGACAATGAGGTACCATCTCACACCTGTCAGAATGGCTGTCATCCACAAATCAACAAATGACAAGTGCTGGTGAGGATGCGGAGAAAAGGGAACCCTAGTACACTGCTGGTGGGAATGCAGACTGGTGCAGCCATTATGGCAAACAGTATGGAGTTTCCTCAAAAAACTAAATAGGGAACTGCCATTTGACCTGGTGATCCCACTTCTAGGAATATATCCTAAGAAACCCAAAACATCAATCAGAAAGAATGTATGCACCCCTATATTCATAGCAGTACAATTTGCAATAGCTAAGATCTGGAAACAGCCCAAGTGCCCATCAGTAGATCTGTGGATAAAAAAGCTGTGGTACATCTATGCCATGGAACACCCTGCAGCAGTAAAAAAGAAGGATCTCTTAACCATTGAGACAGCATGGATGGACCTGGAGAGTATTATACTAAGCAAAATAAGCCAGTCAGAGAAAGATAAGTATCCCATGATCTCACTTATATGTGGAATCTAATGAACAAAATAAACTGTTGAACAAAATACATCCAGAGACATAGAAGCATGGAACATATTTTCGAATTTCAGAGGGAAGGTGGAAGTGAGTGGATGGGTGTAAAGAGATCAACCAAAGAACTTGTATGCATAACGCATGGACATAGACAATAGGGTAGTGAAGGCCTGGGGCAGTGGAGGAGGGTGAGCTAGAAGGGGTCAATGGGGGGGTGGGTAGGAAAGAGGACATAAGTAATACTTTCAACAATAAAGATTTTTTTAAAAATAAAATAGGGTGTTTTATAATATTAGGATATTTTATGTAAGCCTCATGATAA